ACAGTAATCTGAATGTATTTGGGTTGTTGACAAAACACCACATTTGAAGACGTCATGTTGGGCTCTGGGAAACATCTTTGGCCTTTTTTATAATTTTCTGATATTTTATTGACCAAAGAACTAATCGAGAAAACAATCGACAGATTAATCAGCAATAAAAATAATCATTAGTTGCAGCTCTATCCAAGGTTCACTTGAGCTTGTTCTTTAAGGTGTTAGAGTCCACCTGTAGCAGTGAATATGAAACCTGTACTTTGCTCCTCTCATCCACCGCAGCATTAATTACCCCGCTGAGCCAACATGTCATGTAGGTGAGGAGATAAGAAACTATGTAAAGAAGAGTACGAGAGGGAAATGTAGGCTAGTGTGTAGCCCGTGTTATTTCAGGTTGAGCCTCGGTGTCGTAGTCTGTCAGTGTAGTCTGGGTCAGGGCGGCTGATTTAGTTCAGTCTCCAACTTTCTGGGACAGATTGGTCTCTGTGGAGTCTCTCTGTCTTCTCACACACACGGAGGTGTTGGAACAGTTATCTTGCACGCCCACAGTATACAGTTATGTTAGTTAGTCTGAATACTGTTTATCTTTGGATCTTTCTCTAATCAAGCCAGCTTTGTATCACAAAAGTGTGTAAGTGTTGTCATATTGGAACATGTGGGACAGGCTCATCTGTTCAGCCCAGTGCTTTAAGCTCTGTGTCTGTGCTCAGGAGACTGACCTGAGAGTGCTGAGTCACCCTGAGCCTGATAGTGCCATTAATCAATAGCCTGGCTCTGAGCTGAGTGGAAACACTGCAACACACCGGGAACATGTGAGAACACAGCAGTGGGACTGTATATATTGTTTTACCTCAATTTGTTTCCTGTCGGGCTGCACTGCAGAGGCCGTACTGTAAGTGCTGCCAGAGCTATAGCTTGACAGTGCAGAGGAAGCAGGTTGAAGGTAGTTTATTTTAGATTTGTTTTGGCACCACCTTCTTATCTTGGCATTAGGGATGCCATTAATATTGACACATCATCGATAATGGCTGATACTGGCTTTAAAATGAAATACCGGAATCTGCAGATACGACAAACCGTTTTGTTTTTTTTTTAGACAAAGAGATAGACTCTTGGTTGCTCTGTATAACCAAACGTAGATCAAAACCTTGTGTCAGGTTCTCATGGAGAAAGGTAAACATCAGGATACACAGGAAGGCACTCCAAAAATATATAAAACGAGGAAGGAAGTATTAAAAAGCCTTTATTGTCGTGGCTAAATTGTTTAAAGAGCCAACATGTTTTGACCACTGCAGGTCAGGGCTTGAAAAAGTTTTACAAATTTCTTGAATCACCACTAAGTAAAACACCTTTAGAAAACAAAAGGCTGTGAATTATTATTTCCCTTAGGGCTTTTCACATTTTAAAGGGAATGTTCTTTATAAATCAGAACATGCAAGCACAAATACATGGTCTTAAACCAGGGTATTACATGAATAGGCCTACGTAAAGATACAGATAAAGAGGTGTATTCAGTCAGAGGATTCAGGGAACAAATTGGATAATTTTCCATAATATATGGATGTATCAGTGTCAGTTATCGGCTAAATGAGTTGTCATATATCGCCAACGAAGCCAATGTTGTGTGTCCCCACTTTGCATGCAGTTTTCCACTCTTGCTTGTTTTTATTCTGCTTTTAGAGCATACATTACTGTGTGTCTGACCACACTGAAAGGGCACGTTTTTCGTCACGTTAAATGCAGAAAAAATTCGGCTTTTTGCCTTTAATTCTGAAGAAGATAGTGTTCCTACCAAGCTGTTTACGTTGCTAATAAGAATAGATATTCCTGTTTACATGCAGCCCTGCATACTCCGATTAATGTCCCCTAACATGCTGTTAATCATGTCAAAATATAAAAAGTTAAACAGCTGGAGTGGCTTGTCATTTTACGTCTTTGCATCAAATTAGGATTTTTAAACATTTTCCACTGGTGGCGGACTAGGGCTGCCACAATTAGTCGACTAATCAATGACTAATCGACTATTAAAATAATCGGTGACTATTTTAGTAGTCAACTAATCGGTTTGAGTCATTTTTCATAGAAATGTACTTTAAAAGTACCCCAAAATACTCTTATTGCGGCTTCTTACGTTCAAATATTGGCAGCTTTACACACTCTCCCATGACAGTGAACTAAAACCCTTTGGCGTGAGTATGAAACAAGACATTAGATGACGTAATTTTGGGGTTTGGGCGAGACAGACCGACATTTTTCAACATTTTAACACATTTTTTGATGAAATGATTAGTCGACTAATCGAGGAAATAATCGACAGATTAGTCGACAATGAAAATAATCGTTAGTGGCAGCCCTATGGCAGACATGTTCAAACATACAAAGGCAGCCTCCCTCTTAAATTCTGTCAGTCACCATCAACGTTGTGATATTTTACACATATCCAAAACCTGTTGATATTCAAGTCTTTCATGCGACGTTACATGTTATGAATGCACTGAATACATGAAAAACAAAAGAATGCTCCTAAAATCTGAATGTTATCAGTATATCCCATGTGTCTTAATCTGAAGAAGCCATAGAAGGCCTATTTTAGAATATCAAAACTGGTGTTTACATGACTCGTATCAAATTCAGACTACTGTCATATTCAGAATAATAATAGAATATTAGTGTGCATGTAAACAAAGTGTAAAAGTATGATTTAAGCATCAGAGGTGAGAGGAGAGCAGTAACACAGGCAATAAGGCCTGATTTACCTGAGCAAATTAACACCTGCCGTCAAATTCATATCACAGTTATTTATACAAACTAGGGATGTCACGATTATAGATTTTCTTGGTACGATTATTGTCAGAGAAATAATCACGGTTTTACGATTATCACGATTATTATGCATTCATTAATTTCACACTATAAATGTGTAAAATCACATGAACACTCCTTATAGATCTTTTAAGTTTAATTTATTTTCATGCCAACATAACAAAAATAATATAGCAACAAAGAAAAGTAACCAAAAAGTAGTGTGCGGACTCTACTTTTACTACATGCCTCTTTGTGGTCCAGCAGTCTAAGTTTTTTCTAGGATGTGTGTTTCTTTTTGTTCTCTTTAAATTACAATTACACAAATAAATTGAGAGCATATCTCGTGCAGTGTTAATAATAAACGAAACAGACATCGTGCTGGAAGGACAAGTCCAACATTTACTTAACACAGATGGGAGGAAGCAACAGGAGGTAATACTAATGCTAAATGTTCACTGACTGAGGATCTTGAAAAGACATTACGTATATCTTCCACACTGCACACCGACACTGAAACAGTCTGACAGTGAGACTAAAAAAAGGATTTGAACTTGTAACAGTCGAATATATGAAATGTGCCTTTAACATGGTGTATACTGTGTTGCCTAGCAGCAACGTTGTCAAACAGCGCCTGTTATGATTTGAGTCTGTTGAGCGCACCCAATGCTGGTCGGACGTATACTTATGTGCTCCTGCTTTTTCTTTTATCTCTCAACACAACAGTGATGGTTTTAAGTACATGTGGCGACTATTTTGTTCATGCATGAAAATGTAGTAGCCGTACAACCGGGCTTGGTAAGCTTGGAGTGTTTATAAGTTGATGTAAAAATAAACGACGTGCATTTGTGAAATCCCGCACTCGTGTGGACGTGAGTTTCTGCCTGTCTTCTCACTCCAAAGAGCTACACGGACCCAAAACCATTACAACCTCACTCTGTGTGCACACAAACTACAAAACTATCCATCAAAAAAGTTTTTGAGACGTGCCTCAGCTTGTCACGTTGCACTGTAAGCCCAACTCGTATCATACCACTACGCCATTAATTGCAAATGACACGCTAACATATACTTTTAATTCAATGTTACATTAGATAAATTCAGATTGATGTACGGGAATAATTAACCGTGGCATTTAAAATCGAGGTTAATAGTGAAATCAAGTAATCGTGACATCCCTAATACAAACCAGTTGCTAACTAGAGAGAGAGATCTGAGTGTGCAGAGGTGAAAAGTACTGAAGAAAGACAAGGTTGGTAGAGCGGCTTTTTGTGGGTGTTTAGTGACATGGTGAGGAAACTGTAGCATCAGCATAGGTGCATCACTGGGAGTGGATTTATGAAGCGTTCAAGACTGTTTGTTCAACACTGCAGTACCTTTCCTGATTTTCCTCAGGGAGGATAGATACTATGAAGATTGTGCTGAATCAGTGACAGTGTTTGCCCTTTAACTGCAATACTGTACAAACCTGGCAAGCTTCCAGGTCAACGGGAATGGCTGCCAAGCCAACCACAAACTTTTTAATGCCAGATATCCATTCATTAGAAAAACATGATGTGATTTTTATTTGTTGGGGACTCTGCAGTGCTGCTCCGAAATGTGATTTATGTGCACATGTTTCATTTGAGCTCTGTGTGAGTCTTTGCTGCCTTTTTTGTTTGTTTGTTTGCTGTCTTTTATGGACTCCTCTCTGTTTCTCTGTGTGGCATCCATGGCGTAGATGGGTGAACACATGTAGAGCACAGGAGAGTTGATGTTCCCAAGTTCCCAAAAACTAAAGAAGGACAGATGTCAGTTGCCCCAAATGTCTGAAAATGAAGCTAAAATATCTGCTTCTTTTAAACACACAGCCCAGCCTCAGTTTGGCACCAGTAGCGAGGATGCTTGCGGCTCTCCTGCTGACACAGCTGCAGAAAGACAGGCTTTGTTATATCTTGGCTGTCGGGGAGGAAATACTCCTCCTGGCTCTACAGGAGCGGTGCAGGTGTAAATAAAAAGGTGTAAACCACCCCCCAAACACCCCAAAACAGTCAGCCAAGGGGAAAATACTATGAGTTTCACTGATTTGTAAAACTTTAATTACAGCTGTAGATGATTACGAAGCTTTTTGCAGTGATGGATCTTAGTCATGTACGCTTCACCTTGTTTCCCCTCTCTGCGTCTCTGCGTCACTAACAACTCTCTTGGTTTGTCTTTCTTTCCAGCGTCTTACTCCCAGTATAAATCGGAGGATGGGGATGGCAGAGCGTCCTCAGCCACCCGTCCCAGCTCCTCGGGCTCCGGGCAGACCTACACTCCCACCTTGACCCCAACTCCCATCCCCACCCCGACCCCATCTCGCACCACCACCAGCAACAGCCCCAGTAACAATGCTGCCACCAAAACAGGTAAGGCACCGTGGCTCACAGGGGAAAATGTCTCTAATGTTTTAACAGATTTAATGAGACATAATCTATTATTAATTCACGGTAGTTTACTCTGCTGTTGTACGGTTGTTTGTGTTGCAGACTCGTTGCTATTCAACAAGATCGACGAGAGACAGAGGTTAGCCCGTGAGCGCCGGGGGGAGCGTGAGAAACAGAATGGTGTGTATTCTTTACCTCTGTGTGTGTGTGTGTGTGTGTGTGTGTGTGTGTGTAGGAGGCATCCCTCACTTTCTGTTTTGTCCTCACCGCAACATGTCATGACTGAACTCAGCTGGTAGCTGTGGTGCCCGTTTCTCTGGTCATTACATAAAGTCCAGGCTGAAGCCAGGCACCCCCCGTTGCCATGGCACCACTTTTACATAATGGGTCAGGCTGTGGGACAGGGTTTAAGAGAGGCTGGTGTTTTGATGGTGTGTTTTTGTAAGAGTGTGTGAGTGACATACCGCAATAGATGTGTTAAAGGAAGTGAGTTTCTGTGTATGTTTTGTTACTGTAGTGTGTTTGTGGTGTTGTACAGTGGTCATACGTCCGACCCCAGCTGAGGGGCCGAGGGATTTGCTTTGTGTTGAGAGCTAAAGCCTCGTCACATGATCTACAGCTGACCCATCATCACACTGCTGCTATAAGCCTGTGTGTGTGCATGTGGCATGTGTGTTTGTACACATGTTTGATTTCTTTTCTTTTTTTTTTCAGTGTATGAACACTCATGCATGTGCCTCATATCATTATGAACTTTCTGTGTGTGTGTGTGTGTGTGTGTGTGTGTGTGTGTGCGCGTGCGCACACAATGCCTCAGCTCTGAAGGAGGCCCAGTGGCAGGCACGTGAGGAGCGAGCCAGGCAGCACTATGAGAAGCAGCTGGAGGAGAGGAAGAGGAAGCTGGAGGAGCAGAGGATAAAGGAGGACAAGAGACGGGCCGCCGTGGAGGAGAAACGACGGCAGAAACTGGAGGAAGACAAGGTCTGACACACATGGTGCTGCACCTACTCAGGGCCCTCAAAAACACTAAGCGAGCTGACATCTCTGATATCGATATGTAGCTTTGGGGCATGATTGACAAAGGCTGCATCCCCAATTTTCTTTCAGCTGTTGCTAGGAACCTCTAATAAACCAGCAGCAGGTGATGGCAGTGTTCTTGTGGTCAAATAGTTAACAAGGGAGTTAGCGATGTCGCTCGGTCCCAGCCCATTTAGGGCTTTGTACACAAAGATGAGGACCTTTGAAACAGGATGCCAGTGCAGAGCAGTTAAAAAACATGCTATGCTTTTGTAAAAGAAAGTGCTTCACATCTGAGCTTCACATTGCTCTGCTCTAAATTTAGTCATTAGTGTCGAAATCTTCCACTTTTTGGATGACTTCAGGGTCCAATAATAACGTTCGTTGTCAACCCAACATTAAGTAATACGTAGTTTCCCTCAAAATTCAAGTGGGATTTCTTAATTCAAAGGGACGCATATTATGTGTTTTAACTTCTTGTGATTATAACCCAATTTATCTTATTTTAATACATGTATTTTTTGGGGTTATCGCCTTATTTTGAAAAGCGGATGTAGTTGTTTCAATGCATGAACAGGTGGTTTGACCAAAGAGATGCGACAACTAGCTTGATGTCGAAACATCAAACGCTGCCTCTTGACCACAGGAGAAGCACAGGAGGGTTTGATCCAGCTGGGCTCACTGGGAAAAAGACTGCGGTCGAGCTAACGTTAGCCGTCATTCGCATCTTTGTGGCCAAACCATATATTCATTCATTCATTCATTCATTCATTCATTCAGCACAGGCAGAGCAGAGCATGGGAGAGTAGAGTAGATGATCTGGCTGATTGTATCGACTGCACAGACGTAACTTTGTACACCTGATGTGTGTGAAGGAGCTGAGCCCTGCCCTCTGTGAAATACCAACACAGACAGCAGAGGAAGGAGCAGAGTAACCATAATAGTTTTTCTGTTTGGCTTATGTACTGTGAAAAAAAAAAACACTAGAAATGGTAGGGAAAACCAGGAGTTTCACATCCTAAACACTCATGTGTGCACACCGTCACTACAAGATATGACTGCAACACCATTCTCATGGTTCTGAACAGGCTAATAAATATCAGTTTTTAGTGAACCATTAAACGCCCTGTGCCCTTTCCCTCTTTACTGAGTTGGAGTTTGACCTTTACTGCCAGCTCCTATCTTCTAACCTGAACTTATTTCCAGTTTTTATCCCCACACTGTATCGTAGACTGCAGAGAAACATGGAAAGAGTGTGTAGCAATGTTACAAAGTCACCCACAGATTTCTGTCAGGATGTTTTGAAGCTATGAAATACAAAACTTGTCAAAGTTGTGGCTGGAGATGAGGTGAGATGAGCATGTGGAAACCACCATGGCTGAATCTGATAAGCTGAGGCCGTCTGTCTCGTGCAAACACACCCCAAAGCATACAGAACTGTCTCACTGCTCCAAAAACATCCTCAAAATTTACCACCAGGGTCAATAATGTGTATGTTCTTTAAACTGTAGCGTCTTGTGGCTGCGTCGTGATCGTACTTGTTCAGATACTTGCCCATGTACTATGTTTGTTACTGGAGGATTCTAGCAGAGGTTGTCACTTCCTGAGTACCATAAATTCTCAGGACAAGTCTCAGATAAACGATTTGCTTTCATTTTGAGCCTGTTGCATGAACACAATGTAGATTTTATCTGTCAGACACTTGTAAAACTGCTGAGCTCATTGTCATAGATCAAACATACGCCGCAACTGTCCGTTAAGAGCGTGTACAGTTCCAGTCTGTCAGCAGTGTTTGCATGTCAGGGTGTTGTTGTGTTTTATGAATGCTAATTATGTATTGTTGTTTCCGTGACTGAAGGCTCGTCATGAGGCGGTGATGCGTCGGACGATGGAGAGGAGCCAGAGAGTCAGACAGAAGCCCAACCGATGGTCCTGGGGAGGGGCGCTGCACACAAACACTCCCAGCACGCCAGCCGGTACGTTCACACACCACAGACCCACACACAGCACCTGCGGAGAGTATCGGTGCTTTCATGCGTGTTGAATACTTGTGATATCTCATCTCCCAGATGTCTGACAGTGTGTCCTCTTGTGTAAATATATCTGCCTGCCTCTGCGTGTCAGTATTGTTCTGCCATGTTTGTATTTGAACTTTGCAGATCCCCTGCTCTCTGATGTTACTGCTGACTCACACCCTGCTCTGCCCCTCCCTCTTTCTCTTTCTGTCTCCCTTATTCTCACTTACACTCACTTCATCTCTCTCGGATCTCCTCTCTGCTCTTTGTCTCTCTGCCATTGTCCTCTCCCCTCCTGGTCCAGGTTTTGTCGAGTCGGCTTTCCTCTATCCACTCGACCTTGCTGGACTGGAGCACATGCAGGGTGCTTTCAGTCTCTACCGCAGATACGGAGTCACCTCCCAATGTGAATATTATAGCAGCCAGCGTTAGAGCGCTGGCTCTAGCAGTGTAACCGTACAGCGCCGTTATAGCAGTGGCACTAGTGTAAACGTAGGCCGATGTGGATGGCATGATTAGTGTGTGTTGTTTATCTGCATGTAGCAGCACAGTTTTGTAACTTGAACGTGTATCCCAAGACACAGGATCATTTATTCAAACCATTTTAGCTCCATCTTTAGATGACGTCAGACCCATTTAGCACTAATTCATTGTCTAATATTTTTCCCCTGTTAGCAGCGTGTTGGTAGTTTCTTCATGTCTAACCTGATTTAACCACAATAGACTAGATTAACCCTTCAAAGAGAGATGACTGACTCCAACTCTCTCTTTCCTCCCTGCTCCACATGCTCAATATAGCACTCATTTATCATGTCTCTTCTTTGTTTCCAGATGCTGACAGGCGGTCAGTGTCCACAATGAATTTATCCAAACACACAGACCCTGTCATTACCAAGCGCCTCTCCTACTCCTCTGCCACACTCCTGCACTCACCTGACAGAGGTAATGGAAATGAACACAAACACACATTATGTTATCCATGATGGTATCCACTGCCTTTGGCTGTGTCTGATGTCATTTGTGTTTGTTGTGACTCTTGTGACTACGCTCATTGTTGTTTTTGTTTTATTTACTAAATGAGATATGGGGGTACAGTGACACTGATATGGAGGAAAAACAGAATTATACATTTTTTTAAAAATAGTTTGACGTTTTGGGAAATACACTTATTCACTTTCCAGCTGAGAGTTGAATGTGATGTGGTTAATATGAAGCTACAGTGAGCAGACAGATCATTCATTTTCTGTGAGACAGACAACCATTCACAGCTACGGCCAATTTAGGCCCTGATCACACAGGATGCGTTTTAGCAGCTGGAGGTGCCTTTTTGTAATTGCTTTTAACAAGAACGAAGCTTGCTGTCCGTGGTTTTGCGTTGCAACGCGCCTTGTGTTATTACAATCTAGGTGCCTGGTGTTTTTGCCGGAGCGCTCTGAACACCTCGAGTTGAAAAAACTTGAACTCAGAGCAGAAAAACACCTCACGTCATCTCCGCCTTTTCTTAATTCGGATGATTCGAGAGGCAGGCCTTCTGTGGTGGTCATGACAACACGTTTACAGTTGGCAAACAATGGAGGAGAAACTGGTGGTAGTGGTTGCTGGATACCCAGAGCTATACAGCCCGACTATAGACAGCAGGTTGTCAAACTGCCCCTGAGTCATCCTAAAATATGCCTGGAGACAGCCATCATTGAGGAGAAGCTCCTGGACCAACTGGTGGTACTCCCCATGATCCACCCTCTTTTTGGGGGTCTCATGTTATTAACTACTTCTTTTTTTTTGTTTGTTTTGGGGTTTTTTGTGTCTAAGCGACCAATGAAATCTTGCCAACTAATGACCTTTCTGATCGAATAAGGTTTGGTCGACTATTAAGGGGCGGCCCTAGTAATTAGTGAGTTTTTGACTTGCTCATAGGCTTATTTCATTACCTTTGGAGTAAACCATTCTAGCTGTTTCCCCCTAAGCGAACAAGCTCTCTGCTGTATCTTCATATCCACCAGACAGATATAAGATTAATGTCCTCAACTCTTGGCAAGAAAGTGAATAAGCATAATTCTCAGAATCTCAATCTCTTCTTAAAGTATACATGTATTTAAGTGCGTATTTAACCATTAGATCATGTACTCTTTGATGTCCGTATGTTGCTGACAGGCTTACAGATGAGAACAGCCTCCTCCCCTGTCATTAGCAAAGCTCAGTCCAAACCCCGCCTACACCAGGGAAAGACCAGCCAGCAAAAAAACACAGGTGTTTTCTGGGAACTTTTTACAGCTTGGTCCCTCATATTAAATGTTACACATTATGTTACAAAGCAGAAAAGATCATGGGCTGGAAACTGTGTAGGAATTACAGACATGGGTTACATGCATTTTCATCGTAGCTTTGGACCTGGACGCTATTTATTTGATGACTGAGTAAAGAATGTAGAGATCCTACTGTACAGAATAATATGATCTGCAGTATTTACTACACAATCATCAAATGGCATGTACCATGTATGTGCATGTGTTTGCACTTCTCTGTGTTTCATCAGAGGGATCAAGATTTTTCTCCCCCCTCTAGCGTGACCCCTTTCTCTAATCCTCTGGAGGATAATCTTTTTGTTTTTGTGGGAACACTGTACCGCTGTTTTTATCCCAGCTGAAAAATGAACACCCAACATTTCAACAATCAGACATTTCCACATATATATAGACATACATGCCAGGACAAACTTCACACACTAAGCGCAACACAAACTCTGAAAGTGCTGCGTTCCCTGAATATAAAGTGGTGTAGATTAGAGACTCAGGTTCCTTTGCACAGTTTCCAGCCCAGCTGTATCTTTGCCCGTCACCCTGAACTTGCAACCTTGTGCTTCATTATCAGAGCGAGCCGCGCTGCATGTTTGATAAACTGTCCTTTGTCTCTGTTAAGTGGCAAATCAGGTTATTGTGAAGATTAATTACTTGTTGCATTGTCCACGTCTGCTTAAAGAGTAATTTCAGTATCTCTCAACCTGGGCTCTATTTTTACATGTTTCTGTGTCAAAGTGATTAATGGGAACAACAGTTTTTGGAATTGGTTCAGAGCTGAGCGAGACAGGCTACAGCACCCTCAATTTAAGTCCAGTGAAAGTGCTTGTTTTTGTCACATACCCCTTTTCCACCAAATAAGCTCTGGTTCTTGAGCCTACATCACATACATCAACTTTTGCTGTGAAAGTATTTTAAAAATGTCAATTCAAATGAATTTTGGCAGATGTGTCGTAGTAAAGCTGCTGGATTTTGGACACAACTGCCCCCCTGTCCTTGACCACTAAAACTAATCTGCTGTTCAGTGAGATAGTCTGTCACAGGTAGACTCAGTTTGCTTCTGAATGCCTAGTCGAGTGTGGCTTGACGAGGCTAGATGCTGGCGCTAGCATCGGAGGCTCTGCTAGCTCGGACCTAAATGCTTTGCGCTGAGGTGATATTTCAGGCTTAAGTACTCCGATGGTATGAAAATTCCTTACAGCAGAGAACGGTGTTCATATCAACACCTCCATCTAGGGCTTTCTTAAACATAAATGTCCCATTCATGGGGCCCACCAGCGTCGTCTCATCTGCCTCCATTATGTAACAAAACCACTGCCTTCAATGACACACCAGGTTAAAGGGCACCACGGAGCGTGATTAATCAGCACTTTTCTTAATGCGTTTCTTTTACTGTGATTAATTAATCAAAATGAACATGTTATTTTGACAGCCCTAGTTTTTATTGAAAAACAAGCATGGACCTACTATTAATGAGACCACTGCACACTCTCAGGGCCTGTTTATACGGTTCCGTATATTTCTGAAAACGGGTATTTATCTTTGCGTTTGCACCTATCATTTACACGTAACCAGCGTTTTTCTCGATGAAAACGGAGATTTTCAAAAACAGCTTCCAAAGTGAAAGTTTTTAAAAAATATCCGTTTCTATGGAGACGTGTAAACAGGATAGATGGAGATTTCGGAAAACGATGACGTTGCAATCCAGTTCATGCATGCCCATTAGGCGCCCGGGAACCACAACAACAATGGCGGATATATGCCGGGTTGTTTACGTTTTGTTAGCACTTTTGGGACTACTTACGAGCTTACAAATGAACTTAGCCCTGCTGCATCAACATCTCCGCTACATCAGCGCACAAAGACGTCTGCTGTGCCCAATATTAGTAAGTGCGTAGCAGCTAACTATGCTACATAAGGTTAAAATGTAGTTTATCATTGTTTTTATCACTAGCGCCAAGAGGAAAACAAATCACTGTGCATGCCCAGAACGTTCTTCTATGGTGTTTGACATATGGCATATCCCCACCTACTGTCCTGGCATGCTAATTGGATCGGATATCGTTTTCTTAACTGATCGTGTAAACCCAGAATTTTTTTTTATACGTGATGAATAAAAATCTGTTTTTATTTGTATAGGTATCTGTGTAAACAGGGCCTTAATTTCTGATACGTTCTCACATAAGGTCTCTGTTATTGCCCTCTCCATACTCTCCTTCCAACCTGTAGAGCAGGGAAACTCAACTTGCTTTGCCCCAGGGGCCACTTATGCAAAATTACAGTAGACCAGGGGCCAGTTAATAAACAATCATCATATTTACCAGTGTCAGAATTGTCTGTTTTCAACCTCTCAGCGTTTACTGTCCTCACTTACTTTTGCTAAGAGGCAAATCCAGTTGCAGTAGCCTGACAACATTATGGAAAGGATCACGTAAGAGGTCGACCTTTTTGTTGAAGAGTAAGATCCTTTTTGTTTAACCAGAAACAGCCCAGAAATCACCATCACCATCATAAAACTCACAAAAGCCATCTTGCTTTGTCTCTCCACTGTTCCAACCATTTGCAACTCTGGTTTAATTGAAATAAACCCTTAATTCACCCAGGTAGATGTGAAAATATGCTGCGTCTATACACGTTAAAACTACTGTTTCTATAAATGGAGTTTGGTGGGTTTGGTGATGGTGATATCTGGGCTGTTTCTGGTTAAACAAAAAGGATCTTACTCTGAAACAAAAAGGGATCCTTTCCAAAATGTTGTCAGACACTTATAACATCTGAGCCTTTAGCGGCAGGCTGACACAAGCACTTTTGGTGCATTGATGGTGCTCATTTGCTTGTAAGGATTAAACTGCAGCCATTTTCACGGCTGGCAGCTGCAGCAGTCTCTCTCAATACTGGACCAATTTCAAAAATGTTTATCAGGTTAGAAAACACCGAAGTTACCCTTTAATAAGTGACGCATTATATGCAGTTTGCATGTACATGTCTACCCAGGCACTGGGGACTCTGCATGGCCAAATGCTTGTTTGCCAGATTAATTCATAGATTTCTCAAAGCTCAAGTAAAAACTGTTTCTGGAACGCAGGTGCAATACGTCCTCTCTTCTGCACTGTTTATTTGAAAGCTCTCCCTCCCTGTGTTTGCTCTTCACTCCAGGCTGTTTGCTTCCCTTTGTAATTAACAAACTGGTGCATGCAGGTGAAGGTGTGACATAGCAGCCTGTGCATGGTTACGACTTCACTTAAGCTCTCGCCTCCACTGTTGTGCAGTGCGAGGGAAGGAATGAGAAACAAATACAGTCATTACGCATAATTTTTAATCTGCTTTGACCGATCGCTCAGGCTAATCAGTGGGCGGTCAGTAGTTTAAGTTGTTATCAAACCTCAAATGTTACGTGTGTGTGTGTGTGTGTGTGTGTGTGTGTGTGTGTGTGTGTGTGTGCTCAGGCCTGCGCCGTCTTCCGCTGACGCCATGGGAGAGCAATGTGGTGAACCGCCTGCAGCAGCCAACGCACTCCTACCTGGCTCGCAGCCGCAGCGCCATGAGTCTGTCTGGAGAACAAGCAGGTAATATACACACATCCCACGTGAAGACCCCTCGCAGCTCGTCCGGTCAGTAGTGAGTGAAAAAGAGGATCTTTACCTGAGAATCACCGCTCTTAGAAATATTTATGTTGCTTTTATTTTGGCCTCTTGACCAGAACAGTTTCGGATGTTAATCAGATTTGGCCAGACTTAAAGCATTACACCGTCTGAAACTTCCCTCACCAGCCTGTATCAGGCATACAAAGCTCACACACACACACACACACACACACACAGGTCTAAATAAGTAAGTTGTTCAGGAAGTGTTCTCCTATTGATATCATTCCCTGTCTCCTGCTGTTGTTACCACGGCAACAATGGCTTTGGACAGATTGTGTGCGTCGCTACGACCAAAATCGCATACTATGCACCACATACCCAATGTGTGTATTATTGTTTAACACACTTTTATGTACACAAACAGTAGTATGAATCCTTTCTGCTGCACTGAGCTGTAAATCAGCATCACTTCCTGAGAGGCTCCTCAATGGTTAGAGATGTGTAACCATGGTAACCTGCGGCAACCTCAGCTTCACTGGCATCTGCAAACATGATCGTATGACAGAAGATGTTGTGCGACTGAGAGCCCACAACAGTTGTTAAAAGGCCATGTGACCTTCTTTGACAGCCCTGTTTGTTGAAGTGCACTACTTTCTCTGGCAGTTCACATCATCTTGTTGAAAATGTGTGTTTCTGCCTGTGTCTGTTATGTTTGTATTGCTGTGTTTTTACACTCACATACACAAGAAGTTTCTTGCATTGACCCACACACAACACACTGTATCTTTATTTTGCTTTCCTCGACTCTGACACACGTCTTCAGTATGAAGGTGCACTTTAACCTATTGTGTTTTGTGTGTTTATCGGCATGCTCTCTGTCCTCTCTGTGGTGTCGGGTCTAATGCATCCATAATAAGTAGTTTATTCTGAGTGAATGACTTTCAAACTAGAGATGCTTCCAACACTGGGACTTGTCATAGTCATGTTTGGTTTGTCAAACCACTCTTATAATGGGACAAAGTGAATGGAAGGTTTTCTATATTGTGTTGTGGTTTATAAAGCTGTCACATTTTTTTCCTTAACGTCTAACCCTGACTAAAACCTTCTTTTAAAAGCATGACACTAATTTCTTTGACATGCAGTTCCCAGGTGATGGTTGCAGTGTGCTGGTAGTTGAGCTTGTAGTGAGTAGCACTAACGCCTTCTTTCTCTTCTTCTCTGTTTCCACCAAACATCTTTTTCATTCCTCTCCACCCTTCGCTGGTTTTCCCAAACTCACACCTTCTCCTCATTAACTCCCCTGACATCCTTCTCATTCTTTCCTCTCCTTCCTGATCTCTCGCTTCACACTCCTGTGTATCAAACCTTTACTCATCAAACCCTCACACTGTCCCGATCCACACCTTCCTTGAAACACTCCGAACTTCCCACCTTGTACGTCATCGTAGCCATGCCTGTTTGTCCTCGCTCAGTGTCGTGCCACCCCATGGGCTCCATGTCCTTCAAAGCCCTGCAGGCCCAGCCGCTTCCTCACTGCCGCAGCCAGGACAGAAGCCTCAGCAGGGGGACGGTGTCGTCCTGCGCCACAACTCCCCGCAGGAGGACCACTGGCACCACACAGGTGGGTCACAGCATCAGCCTGCATCTGTCTTTGACTGAATGTCAGAGGTGGGACCGAGTCATTGTTTTACTCAAGTCTTTGAAGTCATGTCCCAAGACAAGACAGTCAAGTCCCAAATCGTGACTTTTGAGTTTCGAGTCATTAACAAGTCGCAATGCGCTTCTTAACTTTTGTATTTATTTGTTAAAACAGGTTTGTTAAAAAATTATTTAGCTATTAAAGGAAATGGCCACTTTAGAATGAAAATACAGACAGTACTTACTGACCCTCATGCCGACAAGAAGTCCAGTGTATTTTTTTAATCCACAAAACTCGTTCGGGGTATCGGAGGATAACAGCTAGCCGGGATAACAGCTACACTTGAAGTGCAAGGCACCCACATTTTGAAAATGTAATAAAACTCTGCTAATGCATTTCAAAAACGGCTCGTCCATCGTAATCCAAGTGCCCTGAAGAGCTTGCATGCAAAATTGACTTGAAAAGACTTAATTTACTCCATTTTTATAGCATAGAGTGCTGTGTTTACATGGCAACTCACGTGAGACTAGCTGATGGCTAGTGATGGTGCTAGTTCTCGAGTCTCGCGAGAGTTGCCATGTAAACACAGCACGCCTGCAGGCTAACTGACCACAGTGAGAAATTATGCTATAAAAGTGGAGTAAATTACGTCTTTTCAAGTGTAGCTATTATTTCCGGCAAGTTCTTATCCTCCCATACCCCGAACGAGTTTTGTGGATTAAAAAACTTGTCGGCATGAGGGTGAGTAAGTACTGTCTGTATTTTCATTCTAAAGTGGCCATTTCCTTTAAGCTAACTACAGCTAACAGTTAGCTTGCTAACTATGCTAACATTAGACTCAGCTTACCGTTCTTTAAACTTTAAATGTCAAATGAAGTTGGAAGTTGTTGCGTCTTTTTCTGTAAGTTCCGACCCGCACATTTTGCATACTGTTAGTAGTTTGTTTTTTTTGACACAGCTTTTTGTACATGAATGAAACTATCTTTGGTATCATTTTTTCCAACTGGCGCTCAGCAATGTAACATTAGTTCCTCAGGGTTCTCTCCTGCAACTTGACTGGAAACTGCTGGTTTGGTTCAAACAAAGTAGGTCTGGGGATTTAAGTGTTGACTTGCTAGGAAGTCAGCCAAATACAGTAAGTTTTTATATATCATTATATCGTATATCGGCAAAAAAATCCAATATTGTGCATCCCTAATGGATTCTCAATACAAAAGACAACTACAACATTGTCAGAAATGTAACCTGTGATACCTGCTAGGTGCTCAGACTATGTGCTTGTGTGCTGACGTGATGGGATAAAATTAAGTCTTCCTTTTTTTTTATTTTTTTATTTTTTTTGTATAATAATCTACTTGAACAATGGCTTTGGACAGATTGTGTGCGTCGCTACGACCAAAATCGCATACTATGCACCACATACCCAATGTGTGTATTATTGTTTAACACACTTTTATGTACACAAACAGTAGTATGAATCCTTTCTGCTGATTTTTCTATTATTTTTCAGTGTTTTACTATTAGAAGTTTGTAATTTACTGCTGATCACTCACACACAATATATCTCTGTTGCTCTGCTCCTCAAACTCAAACACACAGACACATACATACTGTACCTGCTGTCCATCTGTCTGCTGCGTTGTCACAGCTTATACCATTAAGGTCTTAGAAGGAAGGACATCTTCTGTACTTTATATTCCACACTGTGACCTACGGGCACATGTATAAACCCCTCATTGACACACAAATCCATAATCCAGACCCAATCCGGCAGACCAGTGATACACCAGTTACACCTCTTACATGTATGTGTCATAATATTTAGGCACAGTACACTGTAGGTGAGTGAGGGCTCAGTGCCTCGCACAGACTGTAATAATGTCTGCCTCCTCTACAAACAGGAGATGATAAATAACTTGTGAGCTGGTCTGAGTGAGGAAAGGTTGATTTTTATTTTGGCAACATTTTTTTTTTTTTTATGTTGATGTCATGGCTCGGTGCCAGAGGTTACGCACGGCCACAGGCAGGCTGTCTGAGACTAATCCTGTTACTGATCATCTGCTGCTGCTGTCAGGACAACTTCTCTCTGTGAACCTTCTGTATCACCTGATTACTCTGTGTGTCATCAGGGATGTTTTTGTGAGGTGCTATTCTGGTGACGTTACGCGGCTGGCTCACCTGGAGCCTGATCAGGTGTTTTAAAAAAAAAATGCACCTACTCATTTTGAATAATAATTTTTTATTGTTTCGCTTTATCTCTGGCACCAACAGCAGAAAGACCGTGACAATGTGAGGAAGTCATGGAGCAACCTGTCACTCCCACTGGCTCCCGTTCTCACTTTGCCCCCCAGCAAGCGCTCCACTTCTCCAGGCAAGAAGAACAGCAAAGTGACAGCGCCCTCTCCTGGCAGGTAGGAGAACACACCCATGATGGTTGATGATATGAAGGACAGATTAGGGTTATGGACTGGTGGGAGCAGGGTGGGTTAGGGTGTAACAACTATCAAATTAGGTTTAATAAAAACAGATAAAACTGCTGCGTCTGTTGTTGCAAACAGGCCTCCACAGAAGTCAGCAGGGCGCCCCCCGACCCCCAAGCTGCTCAAGTCTCCGGGGGCAGAGGACCCTGGAAATCTTCGTCCTTTCAGGGTCACACCTGAGAGCCCCCAACCCACCAGAGCCCCCGGAGAGGAGGAGGAGGAAGAGCAGGTCCTCAGTCCTCCTCAGCCTCGACCTCAGCCACTGGGTCAGAACAAGAGCAGCAGTGAGCTCACACCACCAGCAGCAGACAGCGGTCAGTTACCACGCCAAATCCTTTTCACACCCACATTATCGCTCAGTCTGGATTGTCTTTTATCAGTCCGTTTATAAGATAGATTAGTCAAAGTTTCATTATGATGCCCTCTAGAGAGCGTGAGCAGTCCTCCAGCCTACAAGCCCTCAGCTGGCACTACAGATCCAGAGGAGGCGAGTCGCATCCTGGCTGAGAATCGTCGGCTGGCCCGTGAGCAGAGGGAGAGAGAAGAGGAGGAGCGCAAGCAACAGGAGGAGCAGCGGAGGTGAGCTGGCTGGGCTGTATGCAAACCTGTGTGATCTAGAGTAGCATGCGAGGAGATGGATAACACTGAATACATCAGCAAGAAAAACAAAACAGGGCTGCAGAGGTCAGGAGGCCACATAAGTGGCGCTCTGGCCCCAAAGCACCCTCTGAATCTGCACCTATGACTGAAGGTGTGTGTCTGCATTCTTGACTGTGATGCATTTGTGTGTCTGTACAGATTGGCGCAGGAGGAGATGGCTCGCCGTAAGGCCGAGGAGCGAGCAAAGAGAGAGGAGGAGGCTCAGCGTCAGGCGGAGGAGATGAGAAGGAAGGAGGAGGAGGAGAGGAAGGCGGAGGAAGAGAGACTTCAGAAAGAGAGAGAGGAGGCAGAGAGACTCCAGAAACAGGTCAGAGAAAGTTTTGAAGCCGACCTTATAAAGTAGACGTCTGTTGATCTTACAATAAAATCAAACTCTGTGTGTGTGTGTGTGTGTGTGTGTGTGTGTGTTAGAGAGAGGAAGAGGAGTCTCGACAGAGAGAGGAGGCAGAGCGACTGAGGCAGGAGAGAGAGAAACATTTCCAGAAAGAGGAGGCTGAACGCCTGGAGAGGAAAAAGGTGACACGTGTTCACACACATGTAGTATTTCATGTTAGTCCTCTTGTGCAGTGCATGTAACAGTTATGTTTCTTCCATCAGCGTCTGGAGGAGATCATGAAGAGAACACGACGCTCAGACACAGCAGAGAAGGTAAAGACTCACGGAAATGTCTCACTGACCATAAAGAGTCTGTCGTTCATCATGTTCATTCTCTCTTTATTCTTTCCCATCTGTAGAAAGTTGTTCCCAACAGGAATGGAGACAATGCAGGTACCTTAATAAACCTTTTTCTATCATAATACATTCTTTTATTTTGAAATGTAGCCACTTCAGTTGTTACCATGTCACTGTTTCTGACTGCTGCGTTGGTATTATCTCGTCATCAGTGACCCCTGCTGCTCCGAGTCCATCCACAGTGACTGCATCACCAACACACAACAGCAACGGCCGCCAAGCCGACCCAAACACCACCGCACTGAGCCACCCTGACCAGAGGTAGAGTTTTAGATACAGTACAGGCCAAAAGTTTGGACACACCTTCTCATTCAATGCGTTTTCTTTATTTTCATGACTATTTACATTGTAGATTCTCACTGAAGGCATCAAAACTATGAATGAACACATGTGGAGTTATGTACCTAACAAAAAAAGGTGAAATAACTGAAAACATGTTTTATATTCTAGTTTCTTCAAAATAGCCACCCTTTGCTCTGATTACTGCTTTGCACACTCTTGGCATTCTCTTGATGAGCTTCAAGAGGTAGTCACCTGAAATGGTTTCCACTTCACAGGTGTGCCTTATCAGGGTTAATTAGTGGAATTTCTTGCTTTATCAATGGGGTTGGGACCATCAGTTGTGTTGTGCAGAAGTCAGGTTAATACACAGCCGACAGCCCTATTGGACAACTGTTAAAATTCATATTATGGCAAGAACCAATCAGCTAACTAAAGAAAAACCAGTGGCCATCATTACTTTAAGAAATGAAGGTCAGTCAGTCCGGAAAATTGCAAAAACTTTAAATGTGTCCCCAAGTGGAGTCGCAAAAACCATCAAGCGCTACAACGAAACTGGCACACATGAGGACCGACCCAGGAATGGAAGACCAAGAGTCACCTCTGCTTCTGAGGATAAGTTCATCCGAGTCACCAGCCTCAGAAATCGCAAGTTAACAGCAGCTCAGATCAGAGATCAGATGAATGCCACACAGAGTTCTAGCAGCAGACCCATCTCTAGAACAACTGTTAAGAGGAGACTGCGCCAATCAGGCCTTCATGGTCAAATAGATGCTAGGAAACCACTGCTAAGGAGAGGCAACAAGCAGAAGAGATTTGTTTGGGCCAAGAAACACAAGGAATGGACATTAGACCAGTGGAAATCTGTGCTTTGGTCTGATGAGTCCAAATTTGAGATCTTTGGTTCCAACCGCCGTGTCTTTGTGAGATGCAGGAAAGGTGAACGGATGGATTCCACATGCCTGGTTCCCACTGTGAAGCATGGAGGAGGAGGTGTGATGGTGTGGGGGTGTTTTGCTGGTGACACTGTTGGGGATTTATTCAAAATTGAAGGCACACTGAACCAGCATGGCTACCACAGCATCCTGCAGCGACATGCCATCCCATCCGGTTTGCGTTTAGTTGGACGATCATTTATTTTTCAACAGGACAATGACCCCAAACACACCTCCAGGCTGTGTAAGGGCTATTTGACCAAGAAGGAGAGTGATGGAGTGCTGCGGCAGATGACCTGGCCTCCACAGTCACCGGACCTGAACCCAATCGAGATGGTTTGGGGTGAGCTGGACCGCAGAGTGAAGGCAAAGGGGCCAACAAGTGCTAAACACCTCTGGGAACTCCTTCAAGACTGTTGGAAAACCATTTCAGGTGACTACCTCTTGAAGCTCATCGAGAGAATGCCAAGAGTGTGCAAAGCAGTAATCAGAGCAAAGGGTGGCTATTTTGAAGAAACTAGAATATAAAACATGTTTTCAGTTATTTCACCTTTTTTTGTTAAGTACATAACTCCACATGTGTTCATTCATAGTTTTGATGCCTTCAGTGAGAATCTACAATGTAAATAGTCATGAAAATAAAGAAAACGCATTGAATGAGAAGGTGTGTCCAAACTTTTGGCCTGTACTGTACATTCACAGAAAACATGATGTACTCCAGGTGGCTAAAATTTAAATAAATCTCCTCTCCGTCATCTTTCTCCAGGGAGAACGGGGAGTTTGAGGAGGTGATTGTACTGCCTTCACATTCCAGGTTGTCTCCTCCTGAGGGAGAGGAGCAGCAGCAGCAGCAGCAGGAGGAGGAGGAGGAGGGAGTTTCTGTTTTAGCCTTCAGGGAGAACGGTCTCCTAAAGCCTCTGAGCGGAATAGAGGACATATCAGCCCAGCAGGGACCAGGTCAGAAAGCATCCTCCTCTCTCTGCTTCACCCCTCTCTTTCATTTGTTATCATCTACTACATTTCCTCATCTTTATTCTCCTGATAAAGTTCCAGAGGAAGTTGGTTGTGGTGGTTAACTTTGGGCGTGATCATCTTACATAATGAATGCCGATACACAGCATTTGGGAAAAATAGTGAGCAAGGGAGGTCAAGTATCCCGGGAACTTGTTCATGGGTGAGGGTAGAATGGAGCGTGAGATGGATCGGCGGTTTGGTGCGGCGTCTGCAGTGATGTGGGTGCTGTGCCGAACTGTCGTGGTTAAGAAGAAGCTGAGCTGGAAGGTGAAGCTTTCAATTTACTGGTCCATCTACGTTCCAACCCTCACCTATGGTCATGAGCTCTGAATAGTGACCAAAAGAATGAGGTCGCGGATACAAACGGCCAAGTTTCCTCCGTGGGGTGTCTGGGCTCAGCCTTAGAGATAGGGTGAGGGGCTTGGAGTGGAGCCGCTGCTCCTTCGCATCAAAAGGGGTCAGGTGAGGTGGTTCAGGCATCTGATCAGGATCCTCCTAGGCGCCTCCTGTCCACCAAATAGGAGGCCCCGGGGCAGACCCAGGACACGCTGGATGGATTATATATCTCATCTGGCCTGCGAATGCCTTGGGGTCCCCCAGGAGGAGCTGGAAAGTGTTGCTGGGGAGAGGGACATCTGGGGTGCTTTGCTTGGCATGGTGCCCTCGGGACCTGGCTTCAGATAAGCAGTTGAAAATGGATGGAGGGATGGATATAGCGTCTTGAATTTGGCCAGTGCAAACCCTTCAGTGCTAGGTGCCACAGCAGGCTAGTCGCAACACCATGTCTTAACTGTGTAACAGCAGCAACAGAAAGTTTACCGATCCGGCCCAAGCAGTTCAGTCCCCCCGGTCCCCGCTGCTGCGGCCACTGACTGAGGGTCTGTCTCCAGAGCTGGTTTGTAGCAGTGAGGAGTGAAGCACTCCTATAAGTTGGGGTTAACTTTAGCTACACAAACATAAACTTGATGCTGCAGCTGTGAGCTTTTTGCTCGTCTCGTCTCACCTTATCTTATCTGTAAAGCAGAGACTTTCTGTATCTTTTTTTAAAGAGGTGGGTTATTTACCTGACCTTAGCCTTCATAGCACTGACAGTTTTCTTTGTTGCCCCTTGTTTGTAGATGTTGCCTGACGTCCTGTTAGGCCGAGATGCTTCCACACCCAGAGAGACAGGAAGTGAGACGGCCAGAGAGAGGTAACACAGCGCTGTTGGACTGAATCAAAGGAAGGACTCGCAGCATCACAGCCCGACCCTTCCTGAGGTTTACTTTCTCACCCTCCCACAACAGAAGAGCACCGCAGCCATTTCCCAAAGATGGTGTCTCCAAAGATCTCCCTAAAACACCTCCAGAGAGACTTTCCCTTCAACACACTCTCTGGGGGACAGATTGTCTTCTCTGTCTCTGACCACACTCGGTCACAGTGTTCTGTGTGCGGCCCCGACAACCCCTGATTCTGACGTGAATGTCCTGAAATCACAGAATTGACTCTATAAACGTGTGTGTGTGTGTGCGTGTGAGTGAATGAGAGACTAATAATAATGTAAACTGAGATCAGCTGTAAAGTCTTCAGCCGTGATACTTGAAGAGATTTTTTTTGTTGCTGTAGAACACACTGTAATCAGACTGACGAAATCAGTGGCGTAACTGGAACTCGCACAACAGGCTCCGAATTACGAGGTTTCATTAACGCCCTAACTGGAACCTCCTAATTCTCACGTTTCAGCGTTACAGAAGAGACGAGATGTAGGAACGATGTCAGTGCATGAAGTTGTATTAAAACTGCAGGAAAGTGTCTTGTAATATATTTTTGCTGTGTCTACAGTGTTTAAGACTAGAGGGTATTTTTGGGGGGCGAGGCCGTGGGCGTTGGAGTATCATGGAGTTTAAGTTAAATAATGACAAAATGAAAATACTGTTCTCAGCTGAGAATTAGGGTGTAAACTACTGATTATTCTTTGTTTAGTTTTATTTAATTGCTGTACAGATGAAATGTGATTCTTTGTTTCGTCCTGTCTTTGTTTAAATTGAAAAAAGAAAAACCTGCTTCAACGTTAACTGCCCTTTATTTTCATTTGTTAACCCCGTCAGTGCTGCCTCCTGTCACACCCAGCCGGTGTGTGAGGACTCCGCTGTAGCTTAGGAGGTTTACTTTTGTTTTGGCCAAGTAAAAAAAAAAGATTAAAATAATAATTTGCTGATGTTGATTCTGAAATAATCTGATTGGTTTGATCTTTCTGATGAAGGATTTAAGAAGAAATGCTGCTAATTTTGACGTTCCTTTGCCTTACCAGACACACTGTAGGAAGAATGACTCGTCTTTGTCATTGAAATGAAGTTATGCATTCCCAGCATGAGCTGTGAGGTTCTGGCCACATGCCACAACTCTCCAGTTGCATCTTGATTTATGTTAAAAGTATGACAGCTCATGATGAAGTGTGAGTCATCATACGAGAGGTATAATGACAAACTACTGGTCCTTTGTGCAGATTTTCATTAATGAAAGACAAAAGAGGGGAATTAAAGGGTACGTACAGTATTTTCCAACCCTGTTTTCTCATGTTTTTTTGTCAATGTGACTAATGGAGACAATTTTTGAAACTGGTCCAGTATTGAGCGAGAGCAAACAGGCTGCAATGAAATGTTATCCCTGAAAAACCTGAGCAAATTGGCTTGGTTTCCTTCAATAACCTGGGAAGAAGGCAATGAGCAATGCAAGAAGAAATTAACCTAAGAAGTTAGCAAGAAATTGTAAAAGGAGAAAATTTAAAACAAGAAAATTAATAAATAAAAAAAGGGAAATTACCTCAAAAGGGTTTAAAAGTTATAATTATGTAACATAATTCTGAATATATAATCATTCTAAATAATGTTTTTCCCTAGCTTTTTTTTTTTTAATTAAAAACTATAATTTTTAATTCTATAAAAATTAAAAACGAAAAAAAAAAGTTAATAAAAACAAACAAGGAAATAACCTTGAAATAGAGCTTTAAAAGTATGATAATTATGTAACATAATAATTATGATTATAAATAAAGTTTTTCCCTAGCTTTTTAAAAATAATTCCCTAAATCTCTTTTTTTGCAATTTGTGTAACATTTCTTACCAAGTTGCCATGTTTTTGAAAGAAATTGTATCAATCAGCTCAGGGTTCAGGGGTTACAATACTTATGAAAGGCGTCTGAAAGCAGCACAACAAACGTGATGTTGCTCCAGGTTTCAAAGGGTTAATGCACAGTTGTGCACTGTCAATTTACATCCTCTAAAAGTGCTGGGTTTTGCCACTGACAGGCTCAGATTGTTATTCTAAGTGTCTGACTGCATTACTGGAAAGGATCCCTACAGAGATAGACCTTTTTGTCAAAGAGTATGATCCTTTTTGTTGAACTAGAAACAACCCTGAAACTGTTTTGCCAAACCCACCAGACTCCATTTAATTAAACAGTAATTTTATCACAGTAAAACACACTTCATTCAAAGGTGAACAAAACAAAATAATACCCACAAAAACTATCTTGACTCATCTTACCACTGTTCCAACAATCACAAACTTTTTTTGGTTAAAATGAACCCCAAATTCACAAAGTTACATGTGAAATATGCTGACTCTAAGCACGCTAAAATTACTGTTTTTTTAAATGGAGTTTGGTGGGTTTGCTGATAAAGATTTCAGGGCTGTTTCTGGTTAAACAAAAAGGTCTATCTCTGTAGGGATCCTTTCCATATTGTTGTCATAAGCTTAAAATAACAATCTGGGGCTGTCAGTGACAAAAACAAGCATTTTTAGAGGATGTAAATTGACGGTGCACAATTGCCCCGAGGCGTCACCGCTATCTCTCTCAATACTGGACCAGTTTCAAAAATTATTCTTCCATAAGTCGCTTAGACACAAAAACATGGAAATATGAGGCCCTGATTGAAAAATACTGAAGTCACCCTTTAAGGTAAATAACTGGAACCCAACCGTTGCCCTCCTGTTATATTCACTTTCATCTTTTAGCTGCTCTTTTAGCATTTGATTCTCAAACCTTTGCACTTCGTCTTTGTTCACATCCTGCAGTATCACCAAAATGGAAGGAGACGTACCCATGTCTTTGTTATGTAGTGCTGGTTTCTGCCAGCAGTACGTAACATGCTGTAACTTATCTTGAAGATAAACTGCTTGTAAATGACATTATACATACATATCCTATAAATAATGTTTAAAAGTCGATATATTTTACTAAGACTGACCACGAGACTAACGACTAACGAGCCCTGTACTTCACAGGAGGGTCTGTGGGGTGACATCTCTGAACCACTGTAAAACTGAAATCACTGTACGACTGTTGCAGCTGTACCGTTTGGCAAGTAAATAAAACTTTTTGAATTGATTACTTATTTACTGATGTGGTAATGTAATGATTGTGTCCTTTTTTATCAAAAGTACAGAATAATGGTGGAGAAATTAAAGAATTAATGCACACTAAAAAAAATGTAATACGTTTATTTTAGCATAAACCAAAACCATGACCAACAAACAGCCGAATATACAAAAAAAAATGTAAAATTCCAACTGTATATTAAAATGTTGTTCAAACACTTTTTACATTGAGAGAAAATGGACAGTTTTACCAAAAGAATTAAAGAAAATATTTACATTTAATGAGAATAGTGGTAGAAATCAGCATCATGTAAGTCCAGAGAGAAAATTTGTTTATGTACATGTTTAGTAATTTTTTCAAGTGTGTGTGACTCCGTTCAACTAAATCCATGAGAGCTGGATGGAGCAGTGAGTGACAACAACCCCGCCCACATTTCAGAGTCCTGTTTGTGGTGGAAACGCTAGGGTCCAAAGGTACCATACCGAAAGTGTTTGGTGGAAACGGGGCTTCAGTAAATCAGAAGTGCTTTTACACGTTAACAATCTGTAGTATTTCACAAGAATTGATGGTGAGTTCAAACCGTGCACACGATGCCACAATTTTGGCCTGTGGTGTGCTAACATCCAGTAATGTCCACTCCAGTAACAAACCCAGCAGCAGGGAAAAGTCATTCAGCATGACTTTGCGTCACTGGATCTCAGAGAATCAAACCAGTTTCACCAGTAGAAGGTTTTGGTGAGGAAGCCGGCGGCAGCGTTGAGCCAGCTCCCGCTGGAATCCTCCTTAGCTGTGGTGCGGGAAATTGCTCGGTTGACCTCCCTCTCTGGGCTCTCCTCTTCCTCTGGGAGGTAGTCGGGTAGAGCAGAGTTCTGCTGCACTTCCACTCCAGACGGGTTCAGAGGGATTAAAACCTGAGTGAAGTGGTTTGAGGGGAGAGAAGCTGAGAGTTAAGTGTGAAGACACACCTGTGATTCTTGTTTCTTGAGGGACTGAACAGTACACGACCAAGTCTTCTTTGTCAAAACGTGCTCTCAGACCACCACTCACCTCTTCTCCTGTCTCATTCTTCACCACCTGCTGGGCTGACAACACCTTAGTGGCAGCGATGGCTGATGCCAGACTCTGCAAATCAAAGAAACACAAGGGAAGGAGGTGACACCAGAGGTCAGATGTAGGGTTTTCTCACTCCACATTACTGCACCAGGTGTAGATCAGTAGCTGCAGGGATATAACCTAATACTTTAACAGGCTTCTTCCTCAACACATGGTGACAGTATAAGTTTGTCTTTGTGTGTTACCTCAGTGGACAGGTCTGAACGGATGCGGACGGTGCATCTCTTGGAAGCCATCTGGAAGGTGAAGCTGATGACTCCTCTGACCTTCAGAAGAGCCTCCTCACACAGGCCTCGCTGGTCCTTGAGAAGAGAGGGAGACTGTGTTAGTTACCATGCTGGCAATGATAATAATCAACCCTGTCATGCATATAAGTGTGTGTGATCCGACTCACAGTGCTGTCCAGGCCCTGGATGTGCAGAGTGACAGACTTGGCCTTCTTGTTGGAGGAGTTGATAAAGAACTGGGATTTCTTCCTCCTCTGCCTCTCAGGTGAGCGTGGCACAGGATTAGCAGGCGCACTCAGAATGTCAAACACCTCCCGGGCCAAAGCTGTGATGTCAACAGACAAGCCGTCCCTGTGTGAAGAAATATTATACTTAATGTAACCTGGTTCCACTTCTATCACTGCCCACTTCTCTGGGCGTAGATCTAGTGCACAAGTGAGAACAAGAAAATACTCTACAGGCAGTTAAAAATACATAAAAATCTCCTCACCTCTCAATTAGATTCTCCAAGCTGACCATCATACCCAGTTCATTCTTCATGGTGGGGATGTTGGGGGACAACTCAGCCAAGTAGCGCAGGGTCTGAGGGCAAAGGAAGACATCAGAGGGATTAAATATGCACAGCATTTATAAAAACAGGAACCTGCAGCTACCCAGCATGTTGAAATGTACCTGACACTTTTTCAATATCATGATCATTTGTCAATGTCATGTGCAATACTACTTTTCATTGTTATATCATTTTCAATATAATAATAATAATAATGTTGATTATCAGGCACAATCAGCTTCCTTTAATGTGTATTGAGCAGGAGGACAGTACAACCATGAACAGTCTCTATCACCCACCTGAAGAGTCGCAAGTAGCACCTCTGGGTTCTGGTGGTCCAGGAAGAGGACCAACCCGGGGAGACAGCCCTGATCCTGGACTATCACCGCTCGATTCTGCGGCTCAGAGGCCAGGTCCCGCAGCTGGCTCACCACCGACAGTGCATCCATCATCTTTGATAACTTTACTAGACCTGAAAGTGAGAGTGGTGACGTTATTTATAGGTGTTTGTGGCCTGTTTTAAGATGAACGTTAAAGTAATGGTGGACAAAATCGCTGCTGCGGTGAACGTTAAACTTAATTAGTTAAGTTCTGATAAGCAATCGTTACTTAGAAGTTAACTAGATGATTTTAGGCTAGGAAACTCGAGGTAGTAAAGCTGACGTTAGTTTATAAACGCTTAATAAAAGTTCTCCTGTCAAGCAGCAGCGCTAACGTTAAGGCTAGCTAAAGATGCTAACGTTAGCTGCTTTTAAAACGTGAAGAAGTCGACCAACGTAAGCAAACGCCATTTTAATTTGTTTCGTTGCGCCGTTTACATACGAATTAAAATGATATCTACACATATCGATAATATAAACTTCCTGAAAGTGCGATAAATATGATGAAATTAAGTATTTGCGGTGTTCTTACCCAACAGGGGAAGCAGCTCGTGCACAAAAATACAAATTTGGTGCACACATTTCGGGACAAGCTATTGGTCGAGCAGCCGTTGCGACGCTGCATGGTCGAGCCCTCCTATTGGCTCCTCGTACTACTTCTGTTTTTGCAGCCAATCACAGGAGCCGTTGCTGCTGCGGCTTTATTTGACTTCACAGATCTTCTGCCTTGAGACTCGTGAGCTCAGAGGGAAGCTGCAAGTTCTTTGTGTTTATCTGCAGTTATAGTTTATAATATTTGTTTTTAAGGAGATATCGGACAAATGTAGCTACTCACGCATGCTTTGACGAGGAAAGTCCACGGTGAGTACGCACTTAAGTTACTGTTTATCCCGTGTGTTTCCTGGTTTACTTTCGATGAGCCATGCAGCTTTACAGAAGGACATACTGCGGTACCTGTGCGGGCTAGTGTTACCTGCACCGTCCTGAACAGAAGGTTACTGTTGTAGGGTTGTTAGAAAATCACCTCATGATCCACCGAGAGCGACCTCACAGCCGAGTCAGCATCTAACGGTACAGAGGCACCTGTCTCCCTGAGCATCAGTTTGTGATGTTAGGTGGCACTTGGACAGTTGCATCACTACTGGACTACAGTCAGGGGAGCACAGAATTGAAGTTTGAAATAGGACATCCAAATAGGTTTTATAACTTCAGTTTGGCACCTCCAGCTCTGAAAATGCCCCAGTAAAACCACAGTGGGTGTTTTCTGTGCTTGCAAGTGTCTAATTTCTTAGTTAACAGGGTGTAGGGCAGGTTATAAGATTTGTCTCTAAACTAAAATCATCACCAGCTTGAATATTTAGACCTGTTTAAGTTAATACATTCAGCTGTTGATTAAAAAAAATGTACATTTTTGGTTGGATTGCCTATAAAGTTACTGACATTTAAAGGAGCAGTGTGTAGGATAAACGGGGATTTAGTGACATCTAGTGGTGAGGATTGCACATTGCGATCAGCTCAATATTTCCTGGTTAAGCAGGATTTATACTTGTGCATCAGCTCTATGCGGAGCCTACACTGTCACCGTTGTGAGCATTTATACTTGTGCGGTGGTGTGTCTGTGTCACTCTGCAGTTACACCTCCAAAACACTAGTTGGCGGTGGAGGTTTCTGTGAAGTGCTGTAAAGTTTAGTTGATTCAAAACACACATTAAACACGGCTAAATAACGATAATTTCAAACACAAGTACACAAATCAGCTTCACTATAAGTCGCAGCATTCACAGACAACTGACTTGTCTTTATCTGGACACATTTTCCCCACAAATACAACATGCTAATGATTTAGCACAAGCCTATGGCATTTTACATTGTATAATTTAGCCTAGCGGCTAGCGAACATCTCTACTCATATGAAGCCAGGGACAACAGCAACGTTTAATAGAGGTGTAACGTTGCAAAATTCAGCTCCATTACAGCTCACAAGGTTCACTGACAAAACAACTGAGGGAAATGGTTTCAGCTTACAGAAATAGACACGAGGTCTACATCGCTGCAACGTGTAGGTCCACGTCAGGCTATGGCGTAGGGTACAGTGTAGGCTCTGTAAGCTCAATTCTTTGAATGAGAAGGCTCACGCACAGCTTCAATTTCTGTGTACATCTTTTTGATGTGTAGGAGAAAATGTCCATGGGGGGGCAATTCTTTGACACACAGGAAGTCAGACTAAAGCTCTGGAGTGATGCGGTCAGCTTTCTTAGTCTCAGTTAGGACTCCAGCAGCAGCGCTCTGAGTCAGCTGCAGCTGTCTCGTCCACATTTCAGGGAGACCTGTAAAATCTCCACTGCTGTAGTCAAGCTTACTGTAGATAAAAGCGAGTTGCTCTGTCCTGCTGAGTCAAATATGTTCTTAAATTCTTGCAGTGGTTTAAAGTTTCTGTAATTGTCCTAATGTGGATGATGTCAGACTGTCTGATTGACTTTCAATTCTTGTGTGTTATAGCTGAAGTGTTGTGTGTTTTGTTTCATTTCAGGTGTGAAGTATGTGACTTAGTGGCATCCATTGTGTGTTGGCTTCTCACCAAGTCTGTCAGCAGAAATTGGAGCTCTGCAGTCATCAGCCGGTGCATGAAAAAGTCCTTCCAATGTCTTTAATAGAGGATATTCTAGATGTGCTGCGCGTCGTCCTGGAGTACTTTGGGGTGCCTCCGGACATGGTGAGCACACAGACACACTTCTGTTTTGTGATCCAGGGATTTCAAGGGGCTTACTAGTTGTGTTTATGGGTGCCAAGAAAAATCACCAGTAGTGTTACTTCCTCCCTGAAAGTTAACTGACTGAGTGAGTTTGTAAGGATGGACATTTTCTTGTCTTGCCTGCAGCTGGTTCCAGTGTGGGACAGTCAGCTGTGCGGTCAGTATCGCAGCATTGTGCGGATGATTGGGACCAACCTCCCACTGACACCTTCACCACGCATCCACTTTCAGGTACTGTGCTGCTTGTCTTATCTGAAATTATATGTCAGTCTTTTCCTGGTCAAATTCATTGCAGCTAAGCTTGTCCAAAATGCAGCAGCAAGAGTTTTAACGCGGTCAAAAAAAGGAGCACATTACTCCCGTTCTTGCCTCCCTACACTGGCTGCCTGTGAGCTACAGAATATATTTTAAGATTTAACGGGCCCCTCTTACATCATAGAGCTCCTCTCACCATATCACACTGTGAGAGAGCTGAGATCGTCTGACCAAAGACTTCTGTTTGTTCCGAGATCCAGTACTAATGCAGAATTTGTGTTGAATCAATGCCTTAGCTACAGCGTAGGCTCTGCGTTGACGTCATACCCTCTTTCTTCTGCAGGATCATGTTCACATTTTGATCGAATTTAAGCCACCTAACTTCTGTGATCTGCTTTTATTTTTGTCATGTTTCCCAGTGTTTAATCCCTCCTTGTCCATGTTTGGTCCTCAGATCCCCCTTCTCACCCATCGGCCCCAGGGTTATGTGGACGTCACCGCGGAGACGCCGTCCATCCCCTCGTTTGCTGACGTCATGTGGGTGTTCGAGGATGAAGGGGAGAGCTTTGCTAAGACTAGGTAAGGACACAAATGGACATAACAGACACAGCAATGTTTTTTTATAGTTCAAGTTTACACAGAACAAAACCATATAAACTGTTCATCAGATAAAATATTTTGTCCTCATATCAACAAACAGTGCATAATCCACTTCATATAAGTCAAAGATTACATGTGTGAGTTAGGGATGTCAACAGCTGACCACCATTGGTTGACCACAGAGAATATTTGTGACCAGTTACGCATGTTGGTTTTTAAGTTAATTTTGCTGCTCATAGATTACTGCACTGTGCATCTCCTGGGTCTGGTGGGAGCAACGTTAACTATGTTATCACTGTTAGCTGTGTTAGCACTGTTACCAGTGTCATCAAGGCTAGTGGTGCTAACATTGCCTACAGCGCTGAAGAGGTTTTGCAACTCAAAATGAAGCTACTTTAACCTCATTTAAGCATTTTAACACTGTTAGCTCTGTTAGCAGGGTCATCAAGGCAAAAGGTGCTAACTTTGTCAACAGTGCTAAAGGGGGTTTGTGACTCAAAATGAAGCTACTTTAACCTCCTTTAAGCATCGTTAACTATTTTAACTCTGTTAGCTCTCAGGGTTCAACACTAAGGTTTTTTTTTCACTTGCCCGGTCGGGCAAGTTGGTCAGAGATCTACTTGCCCGAAGTCTGTTTTTACTTGCCCTATAAAAATTGTTTAATTTAAGCGGCTATCAAATAACAAAGACTGCAGTTATTTTTATGTTATGTAATCTTTATTTACACTGTATTTATTAATTAAAACAACATATGTCATGTATTGTAGCTTAATTCCTACACAAAAATGACTGTGTCAAGGCTTAAAGTGAAAAATTTGTCAATCGTTCTGCGTCTATAATTTTGCGCTCTACTTGAGCCATGCCCACCTCTATTTATTTTTCACCCCTCTCTCCAGTTCTGCTGTATTAACACCGGGTTTAATATATTTTGTTTCCATCTTTCTGCCCTGCTCTACTCTACTTCAACGCTACTTAGCTCTCTCTCTACTCTACCAGTAGACTACAACATCACCTGTTGCACAGAACACACACAGCAGTGTTTCTCTTAGGATGGAGTTGTAGCAGCGGAGGTGACGCACACGCATGAAAAATATTTTCACATGCGTGAAACTTTTTTGTATGCTTGCAAAGCACAGCCTGCTGGGATGTTTCTATGTATCTACTGGCACCAGAAGGGCTCTTTAGGACTAAGTACATACAGTACATGTGTGCACAGTAATGAGCAGGTGAAATGTCTGTCTAGCTTACATATGAGGTGTCTCAAGATTTAGGAACATACAATTTTATTGAATATAATAAAGTAAAAAGTCACATGACATGCTGCTGTTCTGTGCTATGACCTATTTAAGTGTTGGAAGTTGTTATTTACGTGACAACGCCTGAACGCAACACAAGCTTAGCACGAGTGCCGTGCTACACGCACAGACAAACACACTGCTCTGTGCGTAACAGCAGTCTGTTGGTTATTTACACAGTGTCCATTTCAATAACTTTGTCAGCTGACAAACTGCACCGGGCTCGGGGTCAGGTTTGGTCAGGAAAATGCGGCCCAAGCTGCTCTAGCGTGCTCACCTGTGTGTGGCGGAACTCCGCCGTGCGTGATACAGAGAGCAGAGGAGAATTGTTAACGTGTGACCATGTAGAGACAGAAATGACATGATGGCATAACACCATAAATAGTATATTGTTATGTTATTATATGAAGCGTCCGTCGCGCAAAATAATATCAATGGGGGCTGTGGGTAGGACATTGTTACACAGCTGTGCCTGTGACTTCAGGCAGAGAGACCGCTGCAGAAGAGCACGTTTTAAAATACATTTATTTTATCAATTAGTTAATAACTTTTACTATTTTTAGCAACTTGCCCGATCGGGCAAGTGAGTTGTTAGTTTACATGCCCGACCGTGAGTTTTACTTGCCCCGGGCAATCGGGGAATCCTTATTGTTGAGCCCTGGCTCT